GATCAAACCTAACAAGACAAAGACACAGCCAAGTGGGGCTGCTTTTAATATCTCAGAGTCGGCGGCGGGGATCCAATTATTTTCAGTTTGGATACATTTCCCCTTTATCAATATCTCCATGTGCATAAATAACATGAAAGTGGCCTTGCAGAATCCCACGGTTGGGCAGACCGGCTCTGTCTGCAAGTGTGCGGCCAGTCTCTCCCACGCGGGTTTCTGATGTGCGGCCCATCTTCCTAGTGAAGGCGACATCTTTTTATAGGTTGAAGACAAGAGGGGGTTTAGGTAGAGGTGAACTCACAAATAGTGGGGGGAGGGAGGGAGGGAGAGAGGGAGGGAGAGAGAAGCTAAAAAGGGACAAGAATGTGTACCAGACCAGCCAATTCCCTCCCTTCCAAGTAGCACGGCAGAGCAGAGGTAAGCGTGATTTCAGCTGTATCAGAGTCTCCCAAGAGCTCATTCCTGGGGCTGAAATCATAATTCTGCACTTCTGGGATCCTTTGATTTCCTAGGCCAACTCAGCAGGCTCCAAATGGCATCAAAATAGGCTACCTGAGCTCAAAAGCAAATAGCAACATCCTGCAGACCCTTGCTCAGGCCAGATCCCTTGACATGACAAAGACAGAGGTAAAGGAGAGACGACCATACAAGCAAGCAGCGCGTACCTTCTGCCTACAGGGCTCTGCTCCATCCTGTGAGGAGATTATTTTCACTGCAGTTAAACCAACAAGCTTTTCTGTGAAGGGGGGAGAATACAGAACGGGGTGGATGCTATCACCAAGCCCTGGAAACACAGCCATGTGGTTTTCTGGTGTGACCTGGCTTACACTGCAGGCCTTGAGAGTCTTACTTCACCCATGAGCCCAAAGGAGTTGAGCATGCTGTGCTCCAGGTTGGCTGCTTTATCCCCATCCATCCATCCATCCATCCATCCATCCACCCATTCATTCATCCACCTATCCACTCATCTACCGATCGATCGATCCATCCATCTACCTACCCATTCATTCATCCATCCATTCACCCACCCATCCATCCACCCATCCATCCATCCATCCATCTATCCATCCATCCACCCACCCATTCACTCATCCAGCTTCAGAACAGTCACACGACTGTGGAATGCCTTTACATCTGAGGTTATTTTTCTGGGCATATGGAAGGGTCCCATCAAGGAGCACAGTGACTCTCCCTACATGACAGTTTTGAGGGTCCTCACAAGGGGCCTCAGAGCTCTGGCCACCTGGAAAACAAATCCAGCACACAAGTTCACATGTTGAGTGAGGGTCATGGTGTCCTGGTCCTTAGGTAGACAAACACTCCTTTCCAGCATCCCAATCTCAGGCCACTCCATCCACTGTCTCTCTACCACTTAAACATGCCCATCTGAAGTCACTACTTTAAGTGTGTGCTTAAATAGTATCAATAGCAATTAGAGGGGCCCCAATCGTACCTGAGATAAAGTTCATTGTTGTCACATTGATCTCTCCTCTAATATGATTCTTCCTCCAAATTAAGGCCCCATTATAGAGGGGGATGAAGGGCACTCACTCCCCTCCTGTGACAATAAATTTAATATCGAATGTACTAGGAAAAAAATGGCAGCTGTTGCAGAATCCATCCAAAAAGATTTTTTTCTCCCCTTCCTGGGAGTAATTAAAAGATGCTTTCCTTGACTAATGATTCCCCTGTTTAGGAATGGGAAGTCGATACTGCTTCAGCCGCGTCCGCTTCGATTGATCACAATACTGCTTGGGTTTGAACGGCAGTTCTCAGGGTGCCTGAGAATCACTGGAACCAATTATGAGCCGTCCAGAGCTGCCCTAACAGGGTGCAGCAGCAGCAGGCTGGAGGCCAGGTGGCTGGGCCGGGCCAGGCGCCTGCTCTTCTAGCTCAGCCGCAGACTGGATGAAGCCAGGGGCAACTGTTTCAGGGACTGGGTGCTTCTTTGCAGAGAGAGCTGCTGTTTCCCTGTCTCTGAGGAGGGTACATTTTTAATTATATTCCACTGTCAGAATGAATTTTCTGAACAAAATAGAACAAACCAGAGCCCGCGGGAGATGTCTGGGTCCCTCTGGAGAGCGTTAGCGCGGGGCTGTTCCTCGGGTGGGCACAAACACTGACTGTAACCATTGACTGTTAGGTCCTAGGGGTGTGGGGGGGAAGGAGGTAGGTGGTGGGATGGCATCTTGGCAAGATACACACGTTAGAGATCATTCTTGCTGGAGCTGAACCCCGCGTGGGCTGAATTTCTGCCCACCCTGGCCATGTTCATTTCCAGTGTGGGAAGTGTGGAAGGGGTTGAGACAGCAGATCCCCACCGAGCCAGTGTCCTATGGTGCTACGTTCTGTTGGCTTTTACTCTGAGCTCCCTGTGGATTCCACCTTCACTGCAGCCTCCAGGTGGCCTCTGTCTCTTCCAACCACCCTGCTGGCTGTTGACTTCAGTCTGTATGACAACAACAAAATGCAGTAACAGTCCTAGGCTCAAAAGCTCTCTGGGCATTTGCTTGGTTGTGGCCGTGTCCATCCCCGCTTCCCTGTCCATGGTAGCACATCATAACGCTGGGAAAAACAGAAAGCTACACATGTAAGAGCTTAGTTCTCAGACGCTGGCCCAGCCCAAGAGGACAGACATGCACCCCCTGCAGCCACCCGAGCCTTCCTGGCGCTGTCTTGCTTTGGCTCAGCTGCTCCATCCTTCTATGTTCACCCCTCTATGCTACTCCAGGCCTTGAGGATCAACCCATATTCCAGAGAGTAGCCTAGAAACCCTTTATGCATGAAAACTTCTCCAAAGCACACTGGCTGTAAGACAGCCTCCACTCTGAACTCCACAGAGCCCTGGCCTCTGCAACTGGCCCTGGGGAGGCTCATTTCCACACCAGCACTTTAACTTTCCTCCCACTTTGTCCTCATTTCCCTCCCCCCCCCCATACTGGAGGAGGGGTTTGAAGTAGACGCTTGTGCTTGCTGGGCGTCACTCTATCATCTGAGTTATGCTTCCATGCTGGCTTGCTTTAGTTGCTTTTTTGGATAGGATCTTGCACTTTTGCCCAAGGATTGGCCTTCGACAAAGTCCCTCCTGATTTCTGCCTCTCGAGAAGCTGCTAGCTAGGATTACAGGCATGAACTACCAGGTCAGACCTTGCTGTTTCTTTCTTTGGAAAAAGTACTTAGCGAGTATTTACTGAATTTGATAAAAGCCAAAAGTTCTCTGGGAGAATCACTACAGGCCAGCTTGGCCTGTGGCAAAAGATGGTTGAGGCCCAGCTTCCCCATCTGTAAAAAAGGAAGCCTTCAAAAACCTTAAATGTCCCCACACTATAAAGATGTGAAGTGCACGGACTAGGTGCCAGACAGCCACACCTCAGAGCTCGCCCCAAATATGCCTGCCCACACTACTACATCTGGATACTGTTCATTCACAATGTAAAGACACAAATGCAATGTACCTGTCAGCTTTAAAATTAACCTATACATTTACTTTATTTTTTTATCCTTCTATCTGGCGTCAGTCCCCACCCCCCAGTATTGTTCATGCCCTTTCCCATTCCTTTTTAGATAAGACACACATGCTTCCCAGATTGGTTTTGGGCTGTTATCCCAAGTAGCTGGGATTACAGGTGCATACCACCAGGTCCTACCTAGGTACCCAAATTTAATAACTAGAGAAGCAAAGATTTAATTGATATTAAAAACAGCACATGTTCCTTTTGAACCTAAGCAGCAGGATGAGTAACAGTTAATTTCCAAACTTCAACGTTTTTCTTCATTCATACATTTATCTATTTACTATTTTTCCCTTTCAGAAAAATCTTTCAATGATACTATTGTCTATGAAAAAGTAGATATTACAACACAATGTCATCTTCTCTGAATGTTTATCATTGATAACCCAGCCAACTTCTACGTACTTCTACGAATAAGGTTAGTTTTTTAAAAAAAAGTCTATCACTTGTTTGGTTTGTAGGCCACCCTTATTATACATCGCACAGTTGAACGCATATATAGAGAGATTGTACATCAGGCCTATGGGATTTTTAACACAAATTTCTTTTACGTTTCTGAGCCCTGTTGGGAAGAGCAGTGTTAACAGCTGTCAACCTGAACCGAAGACCAACGCAGCCCGCCAACTCTTTCTTCTCTCTGTGAGAAAATGATCTATTCTCTGACCATGACACCCACGAGAATGTTCATCTTTTCTGACCATCAGCAAAACAAATCAGAAATAGAGCACCCCTGAGAAGGGAGCAGGGAGCAACCCGCCCATCCCCGAGCGGCCAAGGGGCTGTGCTGCCCACTGCGCAGGGCCGGGCCAGGCCTGCGCTGGGCTTGGCCGGGCGACCCCACTTAGAACATTAAGCATGCATGAGTGCTCTCAAGAATGGCTTCCAAGAGCCATAGATGAAAAATGAGAAACTAAATGGCCTCAAAATAAATGCGTTTTTTACACTGGTTAAGAATTAACATTAATGAGGAGTCACCATACATTATATGCTGGTCTTTGGTTGATTAAATGTGTTCGAAGTCTGTTTTAGACAATAAAATACACTTTCTTACTACATACTCACTGCATAATGGAGGGGGGGAGGTGCAGGGGAGGGAGGAGGCCGCTTATCAACAAGATGGTTGGTTACTAAACATAGACCAATAACAAACAAAATTAAAGAATCAAAGATTTACAATTAGTGTTAACACAGCTTATGCCTATTAGAAATGTATTAATTAAACTAAGAGATTCATAAGGTTAGGAGCTTAATACATTTCTAAGAGGGGAAGAGAAATCCCTAAGGCCTAAAAACAAACATAAAAATTGAAGGAGTTTGAATTATCCTGTCTGCTCAAGACCAATTCTTAAACACAGACATTTCCCATGGGGCGAATCAGCCTTCCTCCAAGTTGGCTGGGCCTGGCTGATGAGCGCTGGCCCTGAGGACACCCCAGCTGTTGAGCTGTGGTGACAGGTTCCTGGGGTAGCACACCTTTGGGGGGCCTACCTTGTGGAGTCTAGGGAGGGCTTCGTCCGCCCCTGGCTGCTCTCCTCCCACACGCTGTTGGCCAGCTCGTTCCCGACGGATGACATCACCTTGATCAGCTCCATGGGCCAGTCGTCCAGGTCCAGGGACCGCACCCGGGAGAGGTGAGTGCCGAGGTTCCGGTGGATCCCCGAGCACTCGATGCACATGAGGGCTCCCAAGTTCAAGCTGGCCCAGTTGGGATCTGCGGGAAGAGGACAGGAGACACCGCCATCAGACTACCGTCACTCACTGCTGCTTGTCCTGGGAATCTCAGACACCGCCAGCCACTAAGACTACACACAGGGCAGGCTGGAGTCACAGGACTTCAAATGCCCCCCGGCCAGTACTCACAGCTGTTCTAGGAACCTGGGAAGATGTGACTCATAGTGTGCAACGATTACAAATAGGGCTTGAGCCAAAACCTTGGAACCTCAACCTCCTACACAATGCACGATGGCAAGTGTTAGTTTGACTAGAGAGGCCCGGCTCCCCTCAGGGGAGGAGTATCTGGGAGCAGCCTGTGTGACCCAGGGACATGTCCCCTCGGGCATTTGAAGGAACGAGCAGTGGACACGGGGCAGCTGGGAGACAGCAAGGCTCAGGGCATCACTGGTTGCCTGAACTTCTGTCCTAACCCTCTCTGCTACGACCCAGTGCTCACTGGGAACACCACATGGACAGCACACGACCATCATTGCGTGCTGATTTAGAGGACGATTTGGGGCCCTTGAGCATTGCTTGGGCCGGACCCTGATCCTGGACCCTGAGGGCCCACGGGTCTGTGCTGACAGTGGACAAAACCCGGCAGACATCATATCTGACTTCCTGGGGAGACATCTTTTATTCTCACCAGGGCAAATGACCAGGAACTTCCCAGAAATTCAGCTAGCCAACTATTGAACATGGGTACATACTCAAGAAGGTAGTGCTCCGTATCCTGGGACATATGTGAGAGGAGCAGCCTGTGACCTCAGGGGAGTGGAAAAGGGAACTGTATTGCCCCTAACAAAAGACACGCACAAAACATAACAGCTGGGTGCTGGTGGCTCACGCCTGTAATCCTAGCTACTCAGGAGGCTGAGATCTGAGGATCGCAGTTTGAACTCCATAAAAGTTCTGTGTTAGTCCTCATGAACCAGCAAAAAGGTGCAGTGGAGGTATGGCACAAGTGGTAGACCATCAACCTTGAGCAGAAAAGCCAAGGTAGAGCACAAAGTCCTGAGTTCAAGCCCTAGTACTGATACTCCCCCCTCCCCTCTTCCCCCCAAATTACACCTGAGAGCTGGTCCACCTCCTCTTCTCCCCATGTGTCCAGTTCTGCATTCCCGGTCCTGCCCCTCTGCTCCCGTCCTCTGGCCGGCCTCAGCGCTCACCTGCCCTGACTGCTCAGAAAGGACCTGAAACCTGCAATGAACCGCACGGTGTGGTCCCGTAGAGACTTGCTGCACTTACAGCAAGCCTTGGGTGCCTGGAAACCATTATGGATATTTTCCTAAACGGAAGATCGAATACGTCAGGTGCTTAAAAAAAATTGTCTTAGCTTAAAAACTTTGTGGTAAAAACACACTTCAAATAACTGTTCCTCTCTTCGAACTCTATGCCTCCATGTTCTGAAAGTCAAATTGAAAGATTCAAAGGAAGGAAGAGACTTTAAAGCGGTCTCTCCCGGAGAAGCCCCCTCGCCGAGGACAGCCTCCCCGCGTGGCCACTCCTTCCCTTTCATCTGCAGCACCGGGCTCCCGGTGCGCTTCCTCCTGTGTGGGTGACCACACGCGCCTGGCCACCTCTACTCGCTCTGCTTTGTCTTTTCCAACCAATCTGAAATGGGGCAAACTGGGCAGGGTCCCAGGTCAGCTCAGGACCCATCTCTCCCCTGTTCGAGAATAGCACTGTTTCCCCTCTGCTTATGACCACTGAACACAGCTCCCCTGGGGCTGCACCCACGCTTCCCTGGGCAGCGGCACCCACAGGTCTTCTCTCCTACTCAGCCTCCCCTACCCCATCTGACCCAGAGCCCCGCTGGAGGCCAGCTCCTGACGTCATGCCCTGCATGCCTGTCATTCCTCCTCCCTTCCCGGTCCTGGGGCTCCTGCCCGGCCTGCTGAGCTCCAGAGTCCAGGCCAGCCTCGACTGCCCAGATCCTAAGTGTGGGGTCCATGACTGGACCCATCACGCCCAGTGTGGCCCCTGGCCCTGGCAAGCCTCTCCCCTCATTTGCATCTGATTTCCCTCTCTTCAAAGGTTTCTTAACAGTGATAAAGCAAATGAAAGGGAGTATAACTCCCCGGGGATGAGAATTAGAAAGAGAAGTCTTGTGCTGGGTGCCAGTGGCTACTCAGAGGCTGAGATCTGAGGACTGTGGTTCAAAGCTAGCCCAGGCAGGAAAGTCCCTGAGACCCTTATCAGAAAACTGGAAGTGGCACTTTGGCTCAAGTGGCAGAGCGCTCATCTCTGAGGGACAGTGCCCAGGCCCAGGATTGACCACCCCTCCCCAAAAAGAAGAAAGAGAAGTCTTGGCCCAGAAGGACATAAAAAAGCTGATCACCCTCTTAAAGGGAAGATTCTATTTTTGACAATAGAAAGCATGATGTGAAAATGGGTTGCTCGCAGGAACTCTTATCCAATATAATTATGAGGCAGTAATTTACAACTGTTATCAGTTAAGTCACATGCTTCGTTGTCTAAATGTGTCTAAAATTTAAGAAAAATGGACGGTAAGACCTACAATATATGATTATGAAAATTAAAAGCAAAACGAAATATTAGGGCAAGAGTTAACCTGTTGTGCTATGTTTTTATGGAACAAATTTCCAAGTAATGGTGGATTAAATCTAAGTGTGTTTCCAAAACCCTGAACTTCTACAGGTGATGCGGGGGGAAGGGTTTGTTTCTTTGTTTGCTTGTTTTTTCCTCTTCTGTACTGGGATTGAACTCAGGTTTGTGCTCAGGGCAAGAATTCTCCCACTTGAGGCAATCCCCAGTCTTGTTGCTTCTAGTTTTGTTTTGTTTTTTTTTCCTCTCAGATAAGGTTTTATGCCTTGGACCTGGATCCTCCTGCCCCCCACTCCCCCCCAGCCCCAAGAAATGAGATTATGGCATGCACTACCTTGCCTGTCTGTAAAAAGGGAACTGTGTTAAAATAAAATTTAACATAAATATTTTAAGCTAGAACAGAAGTCTCCGGCCCACTGCTACTGAGTGAAGGCCTGCATGGACCCTACGTGTGGGGGCCGAGGGGGTCAAGCGGGGGACACGTGTGTCCACCCTAGCAGCAAGCCGGGGACACCGCGTCCATGCACACTTACTCTGGGCATCACAGTCCACACAGTGGGAGTTCCCACGGATATTCCGGATAGACTGCAGGGCCATGGCCTCACTCTGGCTGGTCAGTCGGGACTGGACATAGAAAAAGAGAAGGCAAGATTTAAGAAGCCCAGGAGAAATGGACACATCTTCTGATAATGTCAGGGAACAGTTGAACACACTGTGTGCAAATACAGGATAAGGGAGACTCGGATGCAAGTGTTCCTACTGTGATGTCAGGAAATGGCATAACCCACAGACAAACACTACGTCAGGATGGTCTCGAGACGGATGTGATCACGTGGGAGGGGGCAGGAGAACGGGGCTGGGTTCACACCTTCGCCGGCATTCATCTCCTCGTGGGAAGTGCAGAGGAGGGAAGTCAACAGTTAGGTAGCAAACGTCAGGGCGTCACTGGCCCTGTACCATGTGGTCTCCAGGCTGCTCACCAGCAAACCCTAGCACGCGCACCTCGCGGCCTGGGGCTCACTTTCCATCTGTTGCTACAGCAACAAAGTCGCTCACAGAGCAGAGCAGGGGCAGGGAGAGGTGAGGGCAGTGTGTGTGCGTGTGTGAGGATGGGGCATTTACTCTTAAACTTCCTCTAGATGGTCCTCTTCAGAATGGATGAAAAAATAAGTTCTACTGCATTGAGCTTAGAATATAGAAAAGGGACATAGAAATTTCTAAACGTAGTAACATCTTACAGTCTGTTCTGTTCCACACACACACACACACACACACACACACACACACACACACACACACACACACTGCTGTCTGAATCTTCCTGTTTCTTCTTGTGTACCAGTGAAGTTTCGGGATAGTTGATGGGGTGATCTACCTGTGGCCATCAGCTCTGAATTGTCCACAGACAGCTGAAATACTGCGCTGGCCCAGTCTGTACAGAGCAGCCCCTTGTGGGCCGGTCGCCTGGGTTTTACCCTCACACTGTAGTTCAGAGCCCTCGGCTTTCCTTGGGAGCCATGCTGTGCCTATACACGGGGATACAGCATAGAAGACACAGTTCTCTCACTCTGAGAGTAAAACTTATTCAAAGAGGAATCAAATCACATTATAATAATAATGATGGTAGTCTGGTTTACCCTGGATAAAGAGGGTAATAAAATAAGACTATCTTTCTAAAAGACAGACACTCTTTTTAATGACAAAGCTGACTATAAATCACTGGCAGAAATTTCTTTAAATGATTACAAATGCAATTGTGGGTTGGGAGGCTACATTTTTTTTATTATTTTTTTTAAGCTTCTAGTTGATTACAGTTTGAAAAACTGAACTGCTCTCCAATACTCCAAAATGTGCCAGCGAAGAGGTTAATACATCCCAGGTTAAGAGAACGAAATTGGAGGAAAGAGCATTGGGAGAAATAGCTTGTATAAAGAGGACCACTGATGGTTTATTGGAGGTAAGAGTCTCATGGACTTTCCCGCCTGGGCTGGCTTTGAACCGTGATCCTCAGATCTCAGCCTCCTGAGGAGCTAGGATTACAGGGGTGAGAACCTGAAGTGGCTCTGTGGCTCAGTGGTAGAGCGCTCGCCTTGAGCTGAAGAGCTGAGGGACAGTGCCCAGGCCCAGAGTTCAGATCCCACGACCGATGATAACAACCACCACAACAACCACAACAACCACGAGAGAGTACTACTGAGCAGTACCCTTTCTGGAAAGCACAGGTCAGAGCACCGTGTCCTTGATGCCGGCGTGAGGTTGAGATCTGACACAGTTTGAAGCCATCCAGAGCAAGAAAGTCAGTGAGATTCTTACGGCTAATTAATCAGCAAAATGCTGTAGTGGAGTGGTGGCTCAAGTGGTAGAGTGCCAGCTTTGAATGGAAAAAGTGAAGGGGCAGCGCTGCGTTCAAGTCCCACTACTGGCATAAAAACAAATAAGTCTCAAACCAAGATAATTACCCCCCTACCCCAAAAAACCCTCCCAAACAAACCTCCACACTTCTTTCTGGCTAAGCAACTGCAAAAAGACTCATCAGTGGTCTAGAATGCACACCCCCTTTTCCTTTTGATCTGTGACAAAGAGTAGGCTTTCCAAACTGGCATGTGTCTACACTGGGGCACGAATGAGAAGGGCCCAGTGAGCCTCTTAGTCTGTGTCTCTTTTTCTGATTTATTCTGCCCAAAGAACAACCAAAATTAAGTATGTACAAATAAGCCTTAAAAAAAGTCCATCAGAGCCATTAGGGCACCACTGGCTCACATCTGTAAGCCTAGCTACTCAGGAGGCTGAGTCTGAGGATCAAGGTTTGAGGCCAGGCAGGCAGGAAAGTCCATGAGCATGAGCCACCCAGAAGCCTGAACTGGGGGGTGTGGCAGAGAGCTCACCTTGAATGAAAATGTTAAAGGATAGTGCCCAGGCCCGAGGTTCAAGCTCCAGAACACACACAGACACACACAGACATAGACACACTTCTGTCTCCAAAAGATTCCTTTGCCTACAACAAACACATGCATGCATCCCCTGTGAGCCTGGATGGTGAGAGCAAGGATTTGATGCTGGACAAACCTCCTGACAGACGCAACCCAAGCCTGGATACCAACACAGCACACATGGTGAATCTCCATTCAAAGATGTCCTCGCCCTTTCCGTTACTGGTCTGCTCACAAAGCAGACCCAGGTCATGTCATCCGCAGCTCCTGCCTGCTGCCTTTGTCTCCCCTCTCCCCCAGCCCTGCTCCGGACCCAGTAATGATCAGCGATCTTGCTTCTGGGGACGGCCTGCTGAGGGCCTTACCTTATTCTTGCTGCTCTCGCAGGACTGCAAGCTGGCGAGGATCTGGCTCTCCACGGCTTGGACCCACGCATCTCGCTCTTCATACGTGGTGGCTTCAAAGTGCCACGTCTGGCCAGTGAGGGAGACGATGATAAACTCAAAGTTTTCTTCTTGTTCTGAAACACACAGAGGCAGGATGAAGACGTCCCTTTCATGCACCCGCGGGGCCTCTGCCGGGCCTCTGTCAGCAAAGCTCCTCTGGGTTCAATGGCGCCCGCGTGGGGCTGGGGGCTACACAGGATGGGAGAACTCCGGCAGGGGAGATCTGAGCCTCACACCTCTCAACACGAAAGACTCGCTCCCAAAGCCGGCAGGCGCTGCTGGCTTTCAATCAGCGCTCAGGGGATCGGGGAGAATGAAAGTCAGCGCGCGAAGGCCGCACCACAGGGCTGGACACGGACTAAACAACTCAGAACAAAATAAACTTGTGACTTCACTGCTGACCACTGAGTTCACGCTGCTGATGGTGGGGGTTGGCTTTCCTTTCTGGGCATCTACTGCATCAGGCTCAGAGAAAGGCTTGTGTTCACGTCCTGCCCGCCAGGCCCTGGGGCTGAGGCTTCCTGGGAACCTGCATTACACGGGGTCTTATTCTCACTCCAGCCTGGCACTCAGAGAATGGCCACTCGGAAGTTCCAGCTGCCTCTGTGGGGCGTCGTTTCCCACACTGGCCAGTGATCTGGCTATGGGACTGTGGCCTGGTTTCAGTTTGCTAGGAAGGAAGAGCACGATCTGCCTGTGTCCCACCTCCTTGTTCCCTCCTTGTCTTCTGGCTCACGTCTAGCACGCCAGCCACCCAGCTCCTAGGCTCTGGCTCATCTCTCTCAGTTGCCAGGTCTGGCTTGCCTCCCTGAGACAAAGCCGCTCTCCCGGGGCCTTCCTTACGCTGGCCCTGAAGCCTTGGACACCAGGACTCATGTCTCTGGTCCTACCTCCTGTCCCCAGTGCCACAGCAGCGGTCTCTGCCACCTTGCCTTGCTTCCTTTAGGCTTGGGAGAAGACAGACCCTGCTCCCGTGGCTGTGTCCCTTTCCTCCGGGTCCCACAGATGTCCCTAAGCTCCACTCTGCCCAGGGAGGGGATGTTGAGGTCCTCAAGGCTTCCCCCTCCCCCGCCTGCTTCTGGTTACCATGGAAACAAGTCAAGGCCACTCTCACACGACATCTTTATACATCCTGAAAGCAATGACCATGCTCTGTTGTGGCTCTCCCAGATGCCAGGCCCTGGTGAGCAGGGCCGAGGCCTGTGGGTCCTGCACTAAGCAGTACTCCCGCTTCTCCTGGGGGTGCCCTGCTCAGGAAACAAAATGACATCTGCTAGGAGGGTCCATGGCTGCCAGCAGCCGGAAAGGCCTGTGGTCCAAGGATGCACTCTTACCACGTCCAGTGGAGGTCAGGGCTGGGCACAGGGCTGCCAAGGCTTAGCAGGAAACCAAGGGTGCTGGGGGCAGAGGTCGGCTTGCCTAAGCGACCCCTGTTCTTACACAGAAGTGAGACGCCTCCCACATCACCCTGAAGGAGGGGTGCGGGCACCTTCAGGCCTTTCTCTCTCTCCCCAGGGACATGGAGGGACTTGTTGGGTTTTTCATTAACAAACCAAATACAAAATCCTTGTGACTGACTTTCAAGCAGGCTTCCTCGGGCTGACCCACGCTCACATCATGGATTTTACAGACCTACTTCCACTCATAAGCCTGACGCGGGGATTTATGCCCTTTCCAGATACTGGTAAAGTGGCGCCCCGATTCATGTATTTTATGCAAAACTCTCTGAGTGAACTGACAGGCAGGGCAGGCAGGAACTACATAACTCATAGTTAGACCATAAGGAAAACTTGGTAATTCATGGGTGATGGGACAATTGTTCATTAGGAGACCTACCGAACGGGCTCCACGTTTTCTTAAATCTGTGCCATTCAAATGTGCACATAAAAGCTTCCTCTGAGCAGGATTTATTAGATTGTCTAGTGTGAAAAAAATTACAACCATTAGCTTCAGTTAGATCTCTGCACACCAGACTGCCATAAAACTCTCCTAGTCTGATTTCTAACCAGAATCACGGGCTGCGCTCACTGGGTCTGCCTGGCACAGGTACCATGCTGGGTCCCTCAGCCCTTAGCTGCCTCCCCTGGGGCCACGGGCTGGGCTGCTCTCCTAAGCCCCTGCGTGGCGGGACAGGCACACACACGCACAGGGTCCCCAGGGGGACACAAAGGCAAGAGGAAGGCGGAGATGGTGATACAGTGCCTGTGAACATTCCCCTCCTCCTCCATTCCAATGCTTTGCTGTAATAGTCAAAGGTTTCAGAGGACATTGTTAAAGTACGGTCTGGTTCTTGTGCCCTACTAATTCCATGCCCCGCCCCCCAAAGGTATCCACGCATGTAGAACTGAGGTAAAGAACCAGTTTCTCCCACTCATGAGGCGCCAGTTCCTTTTCCAGTATGAAAGATGGTTCTCCTTGCAGTTCCCGGCCTTCCTCTTCCTCTCTGCTTCCTTGCTCTGGTTCCCCCTGTATCTACCTAGCAATGATTTCCTTACTCTTCTCCAGGCTGGTCCACTTCTGTGGATAGCCTGGCCTCTGCACAGGATGCCTGCCCAGTGCCCTTCCTTCCTGTTCTCTCGTTTCCTCTCTTCTTCCTGGCTCAACTCTCCAGGCACACATCTGCCCTTCATGGCCCGTGATTTTCAGGTGTTTTCCCTTGTGCAGCCTCTCCCAGCTCTTCATCTTCCAAGAATGCAACTGAGTCAATGACCAGGATCATGGCTGGTCCCCTTTACCAGGAGATTGACCTTCCTAAGTGGTGCCACTACTTGGCACCTTCTGAACGCTCTGGTCAGCATGCACACTTACTCAGATAGGAAGAAGAATCGCCAATGCAACTCTGCCTTGACAACTCATTGTAATGTCCCACTGAAGGCCTCCCAGGGCCTCTCCCCCGCCCTTCTCTCTCCCTCTCTCTCCCCTCTCCTTTTTTCCTTACTGCTGAGGTCAGGTGATCAAGCAGTTTCCTCAGAGTCCCTAATCATTTTGGCCCCGCTGATCTAACACAGGTGGGAGACGCTGGGGATGTGATTAGAAAGTCTCTCCTGTGAGTCACTCTGCTTCATGGGCCTGTGATGGGCTGACTGGTGCCAAGACAGGAACAGGAAGCAGTGTTCTTGGGTTTCCCGTCAGCAGGGGCCACAGAGCCGCCCTTCATCACTGAGTCCTATCAAAGCCTGGTTCACGGTGTGGGTGCCTCTGCCTCCTCCTCAGGGAGAAAAGCCTTGGCCTTCAGAACCCCCTGTGGGTAACCAGGCGGAGACAGAACTCCGCAGGACAGTGAAGCGGGGCTGGAAGTGTCGAGAGTGGCGCACCTTCTGCGCTATGCCGGCTCGCCAAGACTCCCACTTGGCCCTCTGCACCCAACCCCGTAACAGCACAGGCAGTCTGGAGCCAAGTAGTCTCTCTGTCTCTCTTATGGGCAGAATACTGACATCTCTTCATGCTCAGAAGACCCAGCTTCCCCAGCTCACCAGTGGCCTGAAGGACACGGTGTAACTTTCTGAAGTGACACCATGATGATGCGGGAGTCTCCAGAAACCAGATTAAAACATGAGAGAGAGAACAAGTAGTAGCAGGAGACAGATTTGTCACCAGGACAGCCCCGAGTGTCCTCATCTCTGTCCCTGCTTTGAAACGTGAAGGATGGACGCCTGCAAAGCGAGCATGTGCAGTCCTGTCTTACTGCTAGTGACATCCTTGCGGACACGAACCGACCGTCAACAGAACTGTGATGGCTTATCTTCAACTCGCTCTCAGAACAGCTCTGCGGGTGGAAGGTCCTGATTGGCATGTACATTGAGTCCTCAGGTTGAGATTCACCTGTGCACAGCCAAGTCTACCCCACCCCACCATGAAAATATAAAAAATACCACTACACCCCACGCATGGGGTGGCAGGTGTGTGGCGGTTCGCATTTCAGAGCACATCTACTTAATAAAGTCTTATGATTGGGCTCACAGGGACCTCGGCTCCCTGTTTAGCGGTTGGCTGTGGAAAAGTCCACTATAATAGTATTTTAGCACCATGAACCTGTCGAAACCAACCTGCCCAATTATTCCCAGCGACATGAATAACACGGGGATTACACTAATTGTGTCCAGTTTCTATGCAGACGAGGCCCCGGGGGGCTAATTCCTCCTCCTCGGGGGCCAGCTCCACAGCCCTGGCACTGGCTTCTCAAGGACCCCCCCCTCGTTACACAAGTCGGGGCTGTGAAACTTTTTTTCCCCTTAAAGGTTAATGGGCCAATCAGTCATCAATTATTTCTGTGGAATCCTAGTAGACAAAGAGTTAAAGGGCTAAAAGCATCTGAAAACAGTTGTACACATGGCCGCTGTGTAACAGGAGACCCCGGGACAGCCAAGCTTGGGAGGGGGGCGCACGCCGGCTCAGGACAGGGATGAGGGCAAGTCCTGTCACAGCCTAAGCCATCCAGGTCCTCGTTCCAACCCTCCTGGGGTGAACATGGGGTACACTGGGCTGAGCGGAGAACGAGGGGACACTGGCCTGAGTGGAGAACGAGGGGACACTGGGCTGAGTGGAGAACATGGGGACACTGGGCTGAGTGGAGAATGTGGGGTACACTCGAGGATGAGTGGAGAACATGGGGTACATTGGGACTGAGTGGATAATTTGAGGTACACTGGAGATGAATGGAGAACGTGGGGTACCCCAGGGCTGAGTGGATCTGCTCCTTTTTGAGCTGGGATGGCTGGACGGGGTGCTGGGGTCCCCCACGCCAGCCTGGCTGGCTAGACGTGAATGTGAGTCTAGGAGAGGCAGCTCGCCCAGGTTTCCTGCATCCCGGACCCTTGCTCTGAGGCCGGTCCCGTGCTGCACCTCTAAGGGTGAGTGTGACCCTCACACGGTTCATGACAAACATGAGAAGAGAATGAAGCGCCTTGCTGGAACTGTACAGAGAGCCCGTGTGCATGGACGGATGGACTCATGGCGGACAAGGCCGAGGAGAGTCCTGGGTGCATCAAGCCCAGAGGTCTCCACATGGGCCCTGTGGACACCAGCCATGGCTACTGACCACCCTGTCCACCTTGGCTTCTGTCTTGAGGACCGA